ATCATCCCGTTTCAACCATTTAAAGAACTTCATAGTTCCAATGTTTCAATGTGTATTTGAAAAACTTTTGTGTTTCGATCTAACTAACCTTCAACTACTCAAAAACGCAAAAAAATTCTAACGGCCATAGCTAGACGCGATCCTGAGTTGGAAAGGAAATGTTACTCACAAAGGATGAGTTTCAAATTATCAATGGTAATAGGCTAGGTTGTCTTATCCCGTCTGTTGACATTTATGCTGCCTACAATAATCAAGTTAAACCATTTTCTAGGCATTGTTTCTTTTGCCTTAAGGTCATCAGCCGTCTTTGCGATATGACAATCTAAATAGGTTGATCAACAAATCTTTCATTTCTGCCGATTTCTCCTATAGTTTGGAGCTGTTAGGTTTTTTAAATGATGATAGTAAGCGTCCCAATGGCATGTTTTTAACATCTTGGATCAGCGGCAAAGACTTGTTTGGGATGTGTCATGTGCTACCTCATTTCCCGCCAGTAGAAACTCTGACCTCTTGAACTCCAAGAAATTAAAAAATGCAAAAATATAGGCATTTATATAACTCTAATCTTCAGTGTTTTGTGGAACCCCGGTCCCCAATCCCTAAAATTTTTAAATCAATTGGGATAATAAATTTAAATAAGAACGGGGGTTGAAAACGAGTCCATTTCCCTCAAACAAATCAATTTAAAATCTAAAGAATTACAAGTGTTTGAAACACTCCATTACCCTCTTAGTTCCTTTAACACACGGAATTGATATTTTTATTTTTTGTTTACATTTAAAACGTATGTTTTATTAATTATAGTTATATTATAATCAAAATTTTATAAAACTAGATAAAATATACACTTTGTTCAAAATAGAGAATATAATTTCTAAATAGAAAATAATCTCTCGAAAGATGCATGCAATGACCTAGGGTAAAAGTTGCCCCTCCTGTCATGTTTTTTAAATATTGATATTTCGATGAAACCCCTCCATAAAAATATTTATTTTTATTTTTAAATATTAAAAAAATAATAATTCGTCGTATAAAAACAATACACCTTCGCGCAGGGGCATACGCAGCGGGAAGAAGCAAGGAGACAACCCCCCCCCCCCAAGCTAAAAAATGCAGATGCCGGATAAATTTAAAAAAATATTATTGTTTATATTCAGTTGTATATTTTATAATATTTATTCCATTCTCTTTCTTTTTAAGTATATATTTAATTACATTTATTTATCACATTCGTTTACTAAGTTATTTTATCAATTAATTTCGATTTCAAGTTTTTCTTGGCGTAATATTTATTTATTATTTTCAAATTTCTAGTCAAATAATAATTATGGACATAAGAAATTTTTTTAAACATATTGTTGATGAAAAATCCTAGTCATCTTACAAAAAAGTAAAAATAATTTTATTACATTTTATAATTAGCCTAGACATAAGCTCCTTAAAAATGTATAAAAGATACCTATGATAAATATTATATTTAATAATATATTTTATTTATATTTCACTCCTCAAATTTCAATATCCACAAACTTTATGTGCTAATTGAAAGTTAAAATTTTAAAACAGCAATTTTACTAGGTTATGGCTAGAATTCTCAATATGAGACAATGGAGCTTATCGCAAGAATGAGTCCTGTTAGGTAAGTCAACATGTACAAAGATGCTGGAGAAATTTTTGGCAATCATCAAAAAACAAATTATCACAAACGCTGGGAACCTATTATTTCTTCAAATAAATTGTGTGGATATGATATCTATTTTATCACATATTGACAAAGATAGGATTAAAATAGCAAAAGAAAATAGATGTAAGATCAAGCTAACTATTGAGGCCATACTATATTGTGGATTGCAGGAACTTGAATTACGTGGCCATTTGGATTCAGGAAGCTTGAATTTCAATAATAATGATAATGAAGGTAATTTTCGTGGTCTTTTAAAATTTAAAACATTAGGGGGATTCTGTAAACAGAATTATTTCTGAAAATCTTTGTCCAACAAGGAGAAAGACATTGCAAAAAGCTTGTCCAACGAGATAGAGTCTTCGCCATCAAGCAGTAACAGCTTTTATAGATTTAGAAGAGTCCATTATTAATGCTTACTGAAATATCACAATTGCCCGAAGGAGATATTCAGAAGCAAGCAAATCATTGGATTCAATACTTATACTTTTTTTTTCTCATTAGAATGTATATTATACAACTATTTTATGTATTTTCAAAAATATAACATTGACTTGATTGAGACGATGAGAATAGCGGAGAGCATTTTATCAGAAATCAGGGAAATTAGGGCTAATGTTGTTGAAGAATTTCATTATTTATATGTTATTTTTGAGTCAAAAGCAGAGTTATACGAGTTTAACATTTGTCTCCCTCGACTTGAGCGAGGCAGGCTCATAGTCCTAACATTAATATAGGGTCAGTAGAAGAGTATTATAAAATAAATGTCTTTATCCCTCTCTTAGATACATTTATAACCCAAATAAATGAACGGGTTTTAATTCATCAGGCAGCACTTAACAGTCTGCCTCTGCAGATATTACTTCTACAAACGTCTTTTCAACCTTTTTCAGATGGTAATAGAAAATAAATAAAATATTTATCAGATTTTTTTCATGAAGATGTTAAAGTATCTTATGATGCCTTATTAGCTGAATGCCAAATATTGTATAAAAGATTAACTATGGTTGATATAGTCCCAAAAAATGTATGGATGCTTTGCATAATTTTAAACATCTTTAATATTTTCCCAATGTATTAAAATTATTAATATTAGTAACTTTTCACATTAGTACTGAACATTTACTTCTTTAAGAAGAATAAAAACATACCTAAGGAGTACAAATGATAATATTTTGAATATTCATAGGCAATTGATGCCAAGCACGGATGAGATAATTGAAAAATTAACCCAATCCCAATGAAGATTGGATTTTACATTATAAATTTATAATATGCTTCTTAATAATATTTTTTGTGCGATTTATTTTTTAATTATATTTTTTCATGAATACTTTTTAAGTTATTGCATACAAAATACAATTATTCCTAAGAAACTTCTGTAATAATTTATATTTCTAACATTTAAATTTTTATACTTTATATATAAATTTTAAAAGCTCAAAAAATTTAAATTTCTATTTTGGGTCATTTATTTATAATGATTTATATGCTGGTTATATCCACTTAATATTTTATAATTCACATTTATTTTGTAGTTTTTATATGCCGCCGGTTATATTCGTTTAATATTTTTTTAACTCACATTTATTTTACAGTTTTCTATATGCCGGTTTATATATTTATTTTTTATGATTCACATTAATTTATAATTCGGTATTAGAAATAGTTACTAGTCCTAAAAAAATGTATGCTTGAAATAACAATGATTTTATTCTTAAAATATTTAATCCCCCCCCCCCCCCCCCCACATCAAATTCCTGCGTACGCGCCTGCTTTCGCGTATTATCATTACTGAAAAAAAAATTGATTCCAAATTAGTGTTCATACATAAAATACAATTATTTTAAAAAATAATAAAAAATAAAAATTTGAGAATGTTTAAAAATATAAGTTCGTATAAATTTTTTGATCTTTGTTTCTATGAGAGAGATTGACTTAGGGAATGATTTGTTAAGAAACTCAAGTCCCGTATCAATCATCAGGGAAGTGAATAGAGTGCGGTCATTAGATTGCAAGCTGTATAAAAAAGTTTCAACTGCTATTACTGGCCCATCCCAATCCTTCTGTCTACGGACTGTGGGAAGATGAATTCTGAAATTTATCAAAAATAATAATTAATAAAGGTTTTAATTATCCAATAACTATCTTATATAAAATATTAAACCTTATTCTATCTAAAATCATTCTTTATTTGAACAAAAAGCATGTTTAAACTACCATAAAATTAAAATTTAAAGATATTGAGGATCTGGAACTACTTTTCAGAGGTTCATATGAGCTTTTTTGTGTTATTTTTAAAACTTATTTTTGCTCAATAAAATTTGAATATGGTAAGAAATAATATTAGAAAAAAGAAACAACTAATAAAGTAGAGATCATTAATAAATTTAATGAAAATCCGTCCTTACTAGCCGTTACGGAGAAAACAAACTTAGGTTAGAAACAGCAAAAATATATAAATCAAGATTAACGAAACAACAATATTTAAAATTGTGATCAAGACAAATTTTCAAGAAAGTGAGAGAAAATATATTAAATTTAATAAATGCAGCAAAATGTTTATGGAATTTGCTTTTTTTGGCATGTATCCTATCGTTTTAATCTATTCTTTATTTATTTAAATTGTCAATAATTTCCCTAATATATAATTATTTTCCATTATGCCTCATTTATATAATAAAGTGGTAGAGAAATAATATATATATCATTTTTATATTAAAAAATAATTAATATTAGCAGCTTAAAAGAGCATTTGGAAAGCTTATCCTTCCCCGGGTGTAGCTCATCCATTCCCAAATATTTTTTTCAGTAAAATTAATATCGTTAATGAGTATATATTTTTTTAAATATTATTTTTATGCATGGCAAGTGGAATAAAAATATTATTTATTCAATATTATCAAGTAGTTTTAATTTTATTGACATTTGCTTTTTAGGGTTCGCATGATCCCTGATCTCCCCTACTTAGGGAATAGTATAGGTTTACCTCAATAATAATCGCTTAATCCTTGCAATTGTTTTCCTTTTCACCGTAACTTACTTTTTCTTAAAAAGATAAAAATAACCACGGGTAAGAAATTTATAAAACATAAATGCCAAATCATAACTTTCCATAGGCTGGCCCCGATCGAATACCTAAAAATTAGCTAAATATCCTCCGACTCCCTTCCTAGATAAAACTTGGCAATTTCTATACCACTGGGTGAATAAGTAATAACCTAAGGATCATGATTGGAAGAATTTATTTATCTAATATTTATAATCTAACGTTTTAATTCTTTAAGTCTTAAATTAATATACGTATTTTATTTAACAGTGGGTGATATGACTTTTGATATTGAGCCTGGAAAATGCCGTATTGAAATATTGATTAGGATTTTCCCAAATACCATTTTAGGTATTAACGATTAATTGATTTCTTATTACCAGTAAAAAAAATTCCCTGTTTTGCAAAAAATAATTTTCTCTAGATATCTGGATTGATGGTGACAATTTTAGGGCTAAATTAACGAGCACATCATTTTTTCCCGAAACGCGTTTTTGGCCGTCTTGGATCAGTATTAGTAAAAGTGCAACATCTACAAAACCTTTTGCCACATATGTTGTTCTCATCAAAGACCCCAAAAACATAATAATATTTAAGGTTTTATTATTTAAAATGTCCTAATACTTTTTTCTAAGTTATAAAATCTATAATTTTTTATTTATACCATTTTTAGTGCATCAAATTGCTCACTCTGGAAGTCAAATATCTATAAATATCATATTTGTTTTATCGAGATTCAATTATTTATGTTATTATGCTAAATTTTGATTAAACAATTGCAATTTTTTTAAATATTTATTATACCTTTATCAAAATTGTATGTGAATAAAGATAGCAAATATTATTTTGAATATTATTTAAAATTAAAAAATATTTTGTGATTTATAAGGTATTATGCAAACAAAAAATAAAACCATTATTATGTTGACTCATAATGTTAGAATAGGTTATTTTATAACTTTATTCTAGGAGGAGATATCAGAGACCTGAAGACCCGATCTGGAAATGGTATTATTTTAAAAATCCGATGGCGTAAAATATAATAATTTGTGCCGGGCCGATATAAATTTTTCTAAAACTTTTATTAATGGAAGATCATATAAATGGAAAGAATATTTATTTAATGCTCATATTTTCAAATCCTTTTGAAAAAATTTGCAAAATACAAGCAATATTAATAAAAACAACAAAATTTTAAAAATTCCGGGCCGTGCCGTAAAATGGCCAAAATTAACCTTCCAGATCAAGTCCAACTCATTCAGACTAAAAGTGAATACTATTATTTCAGTCAAAATATTTTTTAAATTATCTTTTATATTATACCTATATCAATATTTTGTCTTGATAAAGTTTTCCTTACCTCCTAAAACCTAGACCCGCCCACTGAGAGTGATAAATATCAATATAATATAAAGATATTTTAATTATATTTTTTGATGCCCATATCAAATTGTATTTTTAACCCCCCTCCCCCATTTTCCAGACCAAGTTCAACCCGTGAATATTTCAGTCAAAATATATTTTAATCGATATTTTGTGTTGACACAAATATTCCTGCCTCCCCCATAACTTAGACTCGCTCATTAAGAGGGATAGATTGGCTTCCAGTTGGTTAAATCTTTTGATTAGCTATCGATTGATATCTATAATAGACATATCTTCTCTAATAATGGCAAGAAAAAACAACTAAGCAGAGGGAGCAATATAAATCGGATGAACATTAGTATAATAAATATCATTGGAAGAATATTGGTATTAATGTTGTTAAACACATCGATTTGAGCCGATTTTTTAAAACGGCTAACTGATACTTTCCTCCAGAGGCGTATCCAGGATTTTCCTATAGGGGGTAATTTTTTTTTTTGGGGGGGACTTCTCTTAGCTGATCTTTGAGCTATTCATTTAAATTATTCATAATTCAATAATAACTAAATCAATATTTTTAGCTTTTATTTATTAATTCGCGCTCATGGATATTTAAAGAAGAAAAACAGTTATAACCCAAATTTTTATTATTGTAAGTTAGGTATATTATATTAAATATATTTTTATTATTTTAAGTTAGGTATATTATATTAAATAAATTTTTTTTTAAATATAAAATTGAAATAAAGTTTAGTGTCATTTTTTTTTATAAAATTGGCTTTAAAAACTAGCCTCAGCTTAAATTCACATACAGTATAAATAGAATAAAATTTTTTTATTGAAAATACTAATTGTAGTGTTTATAAAATATTGACTAGAAAACAGTGGCGTAGCCAAGATTTATCCATGGGGGGGGGGGGGGGAGGGTTTAATTTTTTTTGGGGGGGGGGCTTCGCCCCCAAACCCTATTTTTAAATTTTGCTAATATTATATGCTTTATTTGTGTCAAATCACTATATAGTAGCCACAGGCGCGTACGTAGGAATTTGTTCTGGGGGGGGGGGGATAATAAAATTTTTTAAGAAATATTATTGTTTTTAAAAAATATCAAGCATAAATTTATTAGGTCTAATACACAATTTTAAATTAATGTGAATTATAAAAAAATTAATGTAAAGAATCACTCAAATGACCCAAAATAGAAATTTGAATTTTTTGAGCCTTTACACAAAAAGTTTCTTAGGAATAATTGCATTTTATATGTTATATATTTACAATGTAATATTCAATCATCGTTGTGATTGAGCTAATTTTTCAATTACCTCATCCTTGCTTGTCGTCTAATGCCTATGAATATTGAAAAGATCCAAACCTTTCAATCTACTTTCAGATGTTGTACTTCTTGGTATGTTTTTCAGAGACCTGCAGGCCCGGCCCCAGGGCTGGATAGTATTTTAATTTTTTAAATATACCCGGGCCGGGCCCGAAATTTTTTTAAAAAAACACCCAAGCCGGGCCTGAAAATTTTATTTTAAAAAAAGCCGGGCCAGGCCTGAAATTTAAAAAAAAAGCCGAGTCGGCCCTAAATTTTTTTTAAAAAAAGCCGAGTCGGCCCTAAATTTTTTTTAAAAAAAGCCGGGCCGGGTCTGAAAATTTTTTAAAAAAACCCAGGCCGGGCCGTAAAAAATCTTTAAAAAAAATCCGGGCCGTGCTCTGCAAATGGTACTTCTGCAGGCCTCTGTTATTCTTCTTAAAAAAGAGAATGTTCTCTCATTAGTTTACTAATGGGAAGAGTTTATAAACCCTTTTAATACATTGGGAATTTAATCTAAAATGTGTTTGAAATAATGCAGAGCATCCATAGCATTTTTGGGACTATATCAACCATTATTAATCTTATAAACATAATTATTCAGCTAGTAAGGAATCATAAGATTCTTTAACATCTTCACAATAAAAATCTAACAAATATTTTTTTTTCTATCACCATCTGAAAAAGGTTGGGAAGGCTTTTGCGGAAGTAATATTTGCAGATTAGTAAGTGCTGCATGATGAATTAAAAATTCATTTATTTGGGTTATAAATGTATCTGTATAGATATACTCTTCTACTGATCCTATATTAATGTTTTAACGATGAGCTTGCCTTGCTACAAGTCGAGGGAGACAAATATTAAACACGTATAGTTCTGCTTTTGACTCAACAATAAAATATGAAATTCTTTATCAACATAACCCCAAATTTCTTTGAGTTCTGATAATATGCTCTCCGCCATTCTCATCTTCTTAATCAAGTCAATGTCATGTTTTTGAAAAGTAATACTTAAAATATTTGTATAATTAAATAATACATTCTAATGAGAAATAAAATTTGGAATAAGCATTGAATCCAATAATTTTCTTGCTTCTGAGAAAATATTTCTTTCAGGCCATTGTGATATTTCAGTAATAGCAAATAATTGGCTCTTCTAACTCCTTAAAAGCTATTACTGCTTGATGGCAGAGACTCTATCTCGTTGGACAAGGTTGCAATTTCTTTTTCCCCCTTAGACAAGAAGTTTCAGAAATAATAATTATTTCACTAGAAATTTGAAAATGGTAGATAAATAGTACGCCACTAAAAATTTAAAATAATAAGTAAATATTACGCCGGAAAACTTGAAATCGAAATTAATTGATAAAATAACTTAGTAGATAAATGTAGTGTTGTTAAACGGCTCATTTTGAGCCGATTTTTAAAAACGGCTAACTCAATATTTTAGCTAAAAAAATATTGCCTAAGGCTCCAGATTTCGCTAATAGATGTCTAAACCTTTGTGCTATCTATGAGCAAAATCTTTAAGCTTGCATAATATTTTTCTGGATAAAATATTGAGTTAGCCGTTTTTAAAAATCGGCTCAAATTGAGCCGTTTAACAACACTAGATAAATGTGATAATAAATGTAATTAAATATATATTTAATATGAGATACGAATAAATATTAACAAATATAAATTAATATAAACAATAATATTTTCGAAAAATATATCCGGCATCTGCATTTTTTGGCTTTGGGGGGGGGGGGGAGTTTATCAATGTTTAATAAACTGTAAATTAATCTATCCTATCCAGTGTAGAAAGAAGAAAAAAATTTGCCCCCCCCCCCCCCCCAAACCTTCCATTTTTATGATCACTCAATATATCTTATTGAGTGTTAAAAATAATAATTTTAATTAAATTTTAGAGAATTTCATTATAGATTTTATTTATTTTAATGATAAAATACAATAAAATAAATTTCAAAATGTAGAAATTTTATACAGATTATTATATTAAAAATTTATTGTATACAACTATATTTAAAAAAATATAATTCAATAAAATATAAGTAATTCTTGTACGGTATTTAAAAAAAATATAATTTAACAATTATAATTAATACAAATGAATCAAAATATAAATAATTCATATTGCAAATGCAATAGTTTTATTAAAAATAGGCAGAGAATCTAAAATGCAATTACACACGGAAAGGGCTTGCAAAGCATTTTTTGGCCTCAAAGATTATTCTATTTTATCAAGATTTCTATACCAAAATACGACATCACAGTAACTTATCATGCGATCCTGATAAATCATTAGAATAAAATGAGATTTTCTTAATATCCCCTCGCGTTTCAAGTGTAATCAACAATTCAGACTCAACTGGCAGAAGAAAATAAAAGCTTTTTAAAATAAATTTGTGACTAATAAATCCTTCATTTAATATAAATAAAAATGTAGAATAAAATATTTATTTTATAAAAATCCTCAATCGTAGATGCATCGATATTTAAGCGATTGGACTGTCTAAAAACTACTATAGGTTTAAAAATTTCAATCCCAAACATATTAGCGATCTCCTCTACTTTCTTGTATGTTTCATGAAATTTTCCACATTATCTCTGATATTTGTTAATATTTCATTATTGCCCTTTGACCTATTCATAACCTCCCTTAAATCCAAATCAATTTTTTGTAGCATTTTGCTAAAATCATAATAATTTAATAAAAAATATACACATTAAATTGACATTAAAAATGTGGCTTCGTAATAGCCTGCAAAAGATTTTCAGCATCTGCGGAATCCTTTACTTTCTTGATATGTAGGATTCGAGCGCTGCAAAAATAACTTCATATAATTCGATGAAAAGTCTCACTGATCGTTGGCTTTCAATAAATAGTTGGGCAAAATCTTTTTAGTTTTTTTTTGATTATTGAATCAATATCATAAACGTTCGGTTAAAAGGCTGCCTCTTCTTGGGTGGTGTGAAAAACCGACGATATTGTTTCTATATTTATAAATATATTAGAATTATAAAAAGATAACTATAATACATAATAAAATCGAATAAATTCCAATTAAATTAAAATATTTTTACGT